TTGCTTGGAGAACAAGAAATATTCCTGAACATCTTCAGCCCTACAACAGACTACAAACATGCCATTAAATAAATAAACCTGTACACAAAGGATACTAAATACAATTCTGTGCTTTTGAAAATAAGAACTTATATTTATTTATTTAACTTCTTTCAAAAACTCATGATGATAGTACTGATAGAATTTAGGTCAGACTTCTAGATTAAATATAGTTCCATTTGAAAGCAGTTTGCAAAGAATTTGAAATAGTTATAGTTCAAATATGTAATATTATTAACAGAAGTTACCTGCTTTAATATTGGATATCTCAAAACTTAACACTCCATAATAACATATGAGAGAAAAAGTTTTTATTGCTGGTAAAAAGAATTATGTAATCATAGATAATTATAATCTATATATATAAAAGCCTAAGCAACTGGACCACAGGCCAGTAGCTATGATGCACACTGACCACTAGGGGCAGACACTTAATGCAGGAGGTGCCAGACACTGGGCTCACGGCTGGCAATGCGCAGCTGTGGTGATGCGAGCCTCTCCCACGGACACTCCCCCTGCGTGCCCAAGTGGCGGTGGGGCTGGGATGAGTGGGAGCAGTGCAGCACCCAGTCCGGGCTCGGGCTCATCCCCAGCCGCCTGCTGCTTCACCCACTACTTTGTGCTGTGCAAGATCGATGAGGACAACGGGTTGGAGTCCAGTGACCTGTGGGTAAGGCCAGGTTTCGGTGGCACGGAGGTCTACTGATCCCCACAAGCCAGGCCAAGGGACCCCACTGGTGCACGAATCTGTGCACTGGGCCTCTAGTTAACTATAACTGTTTACTGATCACCTACCATGTGTGAGAAGATATGCTAGGTTGCTATAAAAGGGAACTTTCAGGGAAGATAATGAGAAATAAAATGGATTAAGTCACAGTCAAGCTTAAGGTAAGATATTATATATTCATAAAATAAGAGTAATACAACATATATTATAGTAAATACCAAATGAAAAGAAAGAGACACTTTTGTGGGAGTTCACATGGTAGGTGCAACTATACATCAGCACGATGCAAATGCAATGATATCAATAGGTATCTTCTTTTTGTTCTCACTTTTTATTTAAAAAAGTATATTTTTGGAAGTAGAGGCTCTAAAACATATTATATTGGATTGAGACTCACAATTCAAATCATCTTATTAAAGGCTTTAAATAAAGAGTTTTGTTTTTACCCAGTAAGAAATGGGATTTATTTTAAAGAAATGAACTTGCATTAAATGGGATCTGATTTTAGGAAATTAATTTTTCCATATTATGTATAATGGGCTTAAAAGATCATTTTAATCATCCAAGTATTACTGAAATGAGCAGGTTGAGAATTAAAGCCCTAAATTATAAAATCTACCTCAAAATCTATGAACAATTTTGGGATCTATCACTTTTGGTAACTTGTGCCATTAAGAATTAGCACCTAATGGAAGAAAAGGATTGGTTTAAAGCTATTTATACTTGTCATTTTAAAATTTCTGAATAGTATTTTATTATATGCATATACCATAATTTGAGTTATTTCCAGTTTTTATCATTTATAAATAGAGCTAGCACAAGCATTTATGAAAAACTTTTTTTGTGTGGACATATGTTTCTATTCTCTTGGGTGACTATGAATAGAACTGTTGAGTCAATCTGCGGGTGTATTGTTTACCATTAAAAAACACACATTGCCAAACCATTTTCTAAAGTAGTTTTACCAGTTTTTACTCCCATCATTAACGTAGAAGAGTTCTGGTTTCTCCACATCCTATCCAAAAGTTAGTATTGTTAGTCTTTTTAATTTTAACCATTTTTTTGTGGGTGTGAAATGACATTTATTACAGTTTTAATTTGCATTTCTCTGATGAGCAATGATGTTGAATATTTTTTAATATACCCATTGATCATTTATCAATCTTCCTTTGTCAAGTGCCTACTCAAGACTTTTGCCCATTAAACAAAATTGTTTGTTTTTAACACTGAGTTGTAGGATATTTTGATATCATCCAGAATTTGTGTATATAAAGAGTATTTTCAGATATGTTTATCAAGAGTATTTTCTTGTAGTCCATGTCTTGTTTATTCATTTTCTTAATGATGACTTTGGATAAGTAGAAGCTTTTAGTTTTGATTTAGCCCTTCCCCTCCCCACAATTATGATGAGTACTTTGTGTTCTAAGAAATCTTTGCCTACTCCAAGATCAGAAAGCTCTTCTTTCTTCTAAAAGACACATTTTACACTAATAGTTTTATAGATTTTAGCTTTTCTATTTCAGAGTATAATTTATCCTGAATTAATATTTATGTTTGTAATGTGAGATAAGAGTTGAAGTTCACAGTTTCCTCCTTGATATCTAGTTATTGAGAACTTACCTTTGATACCCAAACTCGGAATACAATAACTGAAAAGTCTGAATGCCAATTACATTGTACTATGAAGTCGTTTAGCTAATCACTACATATTTTTGCTTGAGACATAGTCATCTTGTAGGTAAGCTAATTGCTAAGACGAAAAATTAACAATCAACTGATTTTTGTTGAATATTAGAGTAAGCGAGATCCAAAAATTTGTCCAATGGACTAAAAAGACAGAAAATTCATGCAAAACTTTATTTTTTCCAGATTCCCTCCTGAATAAAACAACAGCAGCAGCAACAACAACCACAAAAGCTGGTCTCCTGCAGTTTCCTGATGTGTTCCAGTGTCTCAGATCCTTGCCTCATTTATATCTGTTGCATGTTATATCTTTTCTGTTAACATGCAGAAGAAGCTCCATATTCATGTAAGTATACTAGTTCCAAAACATACTGTAGAATCATATAAAACTCAGCACTACTTGGTTGTAATAGATAGAAACCCTCCTCAAAGTTGTTTAAGCAAAAAAGAGTTTGGTTAGATTCAGTAACTTGAGAAGTCCAAGTGCTGAAGCTGGTGAGGCCAAATATACATTGAAATTTTTCCTTGTGTAAAAAGATATTTTTAAAATGTAAAAATTTGGTAAATTTTTTTTAGTAGTGTAAGTAGTCAACTGCTCTCATTCTCTAAAAACCTACTATTTGTAGATGTGAAAAACTGGAGACTTAAAAATATGCTCTAAGTCAAAAGCAGGGAAAATTTCTTAAATAAAATGGATATATTTGCCCTAAATAGTAATAATGCAATTTGTATCAGTTTTCCAGAGAATTATCTGCCATTAAAAAAAAAAAAGAAAAGAATCCTGATTTTTAACTCAAATTATCTGTATTTTGTTTCCACACTCAAATTGCAGTCTAAGAATCAGTTTGTTGAGTTTGATTTAGTGAATATTTATTTAGGATTTTTTATTAAAAACAAGGGAAACAGAAAAGGAACAGCGCTGTGCAAATGACCTCTGGGTCCGGGCAGGACTTAAATGCTCACATCCCCTCAGAGGATATTATCACCCTTGTTTGCGTTGACGGTTACAGATACTATGTCTCTCTTTGTGCTGTTTGCAAAAAAGCTGAGCTAGTTGGACTGTATTTCCAGTGGTGTGCTGGACTGCGGGCATTTGTTCCTCAGCGGGCTGTGTGCAGGGCCAGGGCTGCATGGAGCCGATTGTTTCTCGGGACTGTGCAGACCCGCTGCCTGATGTCCTCGCTGCTGACAGTGGTTGCCAACAAACCCTATTCCTTTCCATTTTGCCTGGTCGTCATTTCGCTGGAAAACAAGGTAGCTGTAGCCGCACAGAGACTTTTTCCTCCTTCCCTTTCCCCCTCTCCCCCCTCCCTAGCCCTCTCTGGGCTTTGACGTCACGTGTGCTCCTTTCAGTTGCCATAGCAACCCCATTCCCCAAGCCCTCTGTCGGTCTCCTCTGGTAGGTTCCACAATGGTACAGGCAGCATCACGCTGCACAATGGTTTCCAGGCAGTGAAAGAGGGTGATTCAGCAAGCCACTCTTCTCCTTCTCCTTCTTTTAAAAAAACCTTCCCTTGTCTTTTTATTTTTTTCATGGGGGCTGGGGGGCGCTTGTTACATGCTTACCTTTTGCTTTTCTTTTTTCATTTTTACAAATTTCCTTTTTTTCTCCTCACCCCTCAATTCCCAGGGGCTTGAGTGACTTTAAGATTGGGTTTTCTTGGACATCACCTGTCCATCTTTAATTTTAAACATTTTCCCCGCCTCCAAAGAACCTGTTCCTTATCACAGTTTGGAATGTGGTTAATGAAAAACAAGTAGGGAGGATTTGGGGGGCGAACTGCTGGATGAGGATCGGAGTTCTGAAGCACGGAATGGTAGGTAGCTCTTTGCTCCTTCTGGGTTCTAACGTGTGTTTTGGAGGGTGTGGTGATGTCTGGTAATTGCTCCTGGTGGGGTGGGAGAACCAGGGTGGGAGAGGAGGCAGGTGCGGTGGAAGCAGGTTAATGAAGTGAACTACCTCTGAGGCCGGAACCGCCAGCCTCTCCTGCTGTGCGGAGCATCTCTCCCCAGACTTGGGCGTGTTGGAACATTTCTGTTTGGAGTGAGGGTGGGCAGAGGGTGGAGGGAGCTTTCTTCTTGTGACCAGGGGTTTTTAGATCAGTGCAGAGCTACAGAAAGGAAGAGAAAAGCAGGAGAGAGAGAGAGAGAGAGAGAGAGAGAGAGAGAGAGAGAGAGAGAGAGAGATATGCTTATTGGAAGTGCTGACCTCAGTCCCATATCCAAGAAATGCTACGAGTTCCCTAAAACATTAAAAATCATATCTTTCAGTATGCACTTACATTTACTTCCTGAGAGGTGTGACTTAAATATTTTGGGACATATTTACATATTTTAGTTGAGAATGGTATGTATATATTTTAGTTGCAAAACTAATGGCATTACTCTTGCAGAAACACTCTAGGCTAAATTTGGGCTGGGGAGAGGACACAGAACAGGGGTCAGGTGAAACATTGGCACTGCAGTCCTATAGGTAAGGGGTCCCTTTAAGAAAGTGATCTCCTAGTCACAGCAGGCAGCATTTTTTTTTTAATGGCATGGTTCCCAGGTTTTCTGTGCTGGGATACTGTGTCCCCTGGAAATGTCAGAGCTCTTTGGGGGAGAAAAAAGGTCTATGATCAGAAATGAGCATGGCAATATATCAGAACTTAGGTATTTGTGCCTGCAGCAAAATAAATGGGATTTATTAGAAAATCTTCAAGTAAATCAAGGTTAGAGATATCTCAAGAAAATTATATATATACATATTTATCCCCCCCGCCCCCTACATTTAAATGTAGAGACTGAGTCTCTGCTTGAACCCTCTTCAAGGCATAACTTCCTGGGATACTGCAATTTAGCCACAGAAGAATGGCTTATCCCGAGGCAGTGAGCTCTGAAGCAATCACAAGGTTGTTTACGCGCCTGCCTTGCTGCAGAACCGGACAGTGGACAGCAGCCCTGCCTGCTGCTGGTCTGTTGACGGTAACTTTTATGAACGAACTGGAAAGAGGCAGGCTAAGTCATGTGGGAGAGGCCACAGTTCAGATGGAAGGAAAATGGGTATCAGTGCGTCAGGCATTCTAGCCCAAAGGTCCGGATTCTCCCTCTATCCCTAGACTGCTAGTTGTCGCACCCTGGGAGACCTCATAGAATGCTGATCAACGTGTTTAAAATGGTTGCAGGCATGACCATTTGTCTCAGAGGGGGTCAGTAAAATTTGTGCCTTTCGTGAGCATGTATGTCATAAGCATAGATAGAGATGCTCATGAATGAGCTCGCAAGCTTCTGACTCCACTCTGGAACCCTGGGATTTTAGGGGTCCGGCAGTTTGGCCGCAGCAGTATTGCTGCCTCTGGTATGTATTGGCTTCCCTACCTTGATCTCTCTCTCTTGTAATTGACAGGAAGTACTGGATTAGTTTATTTTACCACCTAGAGCAAATTGGATTTTCTCGCCCCCACAACGGAACTAGAAAATCAGATGACAAAGGTGATATGACCTCAGATATTAGACTCTTCAGGCTTCCTCATCTGCACATTACTTCCTCCCGTTGTTGCAAAGTGTCTTTAATTTGATGGGCTCCTGTTGTTAGAAAATCCTCGCAGTTTTGGTAAAAAGATTCTTGATGATGAGGCAGTAAGAAATTATACACGGAGTGGAAGAATCAGCTGCCTCCAGCTTCCTGCCTGCTTGCCCCAGAACAGCATCTGGCGTTGGGAGGAGTGCGTCTGCGGTGCTGGAGGGGGATGTTTCTGAACAGATCCCAGAGGGGCTGAGTGTGTTTTTGCTGTCATTGTCTGGTATGTCTGCAGTTGTTAGGATTTAATAGTTTCGTAGTGCGTGGCCAATATTTCTCAAGGTTAGAATGAACTGCAAATTGATTGTGGGTGCTATAAAATACATGTACTAGTATATTTTTCGATGCCAGGAAAATTCGTAGGGTTTTTCTTGTTAGTATATCCTATAGGAAAATCATAAGCAAAGGAATCTGCCTCACCTACGTAGTGTGAAAAAGCCTCCCATGTTTAAGGGAAGGCCTCCTATAATTAAAGGTTATTTTTTTTTAAGTTTTATTGTGGCTTTATGTAAATGAGCCAATTTCTTTGGCTGTAATCGTATTGGAAAAGTATTTTAAGACTGATGATAAAAGGCAAAGACTAATTGGGTGTTTTCTGGCTTATTAAACATGGGGGCAGATGCTCGCCTTCGCTGCTCTAGTTCTGGCTTCAGGTCACATTTGTAGCTAAAAGACTTTGCATGGAATTGGTGTGTTCACGTCAAGCGATTGCTTAGTTGCTTACGAGAATAAGGGACTCAAAGCAAGAGAGACTTTCTCCAATTTAAATAATAGAAAACAAATTGACATTAAATTTTTTTTCCATTGCCCCTACTGTTTCCTCTCCAGTCTCTTTTAAGCTTTGGTTGGACATTGCCAAACTTAACGCAAAAACAGGCACACTGTCCAGCCATGGCCCGAAAGTGGTACAACGCTGTATGTGCTGCGGTCTCAGGGCTTCCTCCCTGGCCCCCAGGGATTCTTACACCTTCTGAGGACCAAGGGCTTGTGGAGAAAGTTGGGCCTAGAGACTCCTGAGGGAGATACTTCTTGGTAAAGAACATCTGTTCTCTCTTATATTAGATACCTCTGCTATGAGAGAGAACATTTGTTTCTTCTTATATTAGATATATTTATTCCATTACGTAAATCTGAGATGAGACACTGTTGCTGATTCAGTTAAAAGATCAGGCTGCATATTGATTGTTTGAAAGAGAAAATATAACTTAGAATTGGAGCTTGGATTTCCAGAAATTCAACCTCTCTGCTCATGTCCCCATCACCAAGTTGTAGGGTTTCGAATAAAGATTTTTCAGCTTGACTACATGGTGTCTTCATGAGAAAAATCCGGGCCCAGAGGGGAAGTGAAGGATCTGCATGCTGTGTGTTTTAGGCACGAATTCTCCCCCTCCTCCCACCTTCATTTAATGGAGGGGAGCTTTATTGCTTATTGTGAGACCTCAGGGGATATTGAAAATCTTTAAATTAGAAAGAGACATTTCTGGCTTGAAAACTGGACCTCAAATTTATACTTATTTTTGGTAAAGGCTTTTTGTTGTTGTTGTTGATTTGCTATTTTGGATTCCTAACAAGCCACCGTGACCTTTCTTACTGTTCTTATCCCTGGTGACTATGAGATGGAAAACCTAGAGGCTCCTGGGAATGGAAATTAGAGTTTTGAATGGAAAATAAATGACTGAAGGTTCCTTAGAAGCAGTTCCTAACCCCCAGTTGCTCTAAAAGCTGATATGGTGTGCAGGTGTGAAGCGAAGTTCCCCTACAGGGCAATCAGTCATTTGCAGAGTGACCTGCACAGTAATGAACCGGATTTTTGCTACAATGTCTCTCTCTCTCTCTCTCTCTCTCTCTCTCTCTCTCTCTCGGAAAGCAGGGAGAAAACAACCCAGCAGTGACAGAAAAGTACTAAAAACTGCCTCCTGGTTTTCAGATGTTAACCAGCCTGGGTGCTCCATGTGCTCCCTGACAATGAGTTTCTTAAAGTCATGATACCTCTCAGACATTGGAGATAGCATTTGAAAGCATTGGTAGTGAAGGAAAGCGCATAGTTTGTTTATTTGGTCATGTGCACTCAGTGTCTATGCTACCTCTGTCATAGCACGTATCACACAACACAGAGATTACCTCTCCTTATGTTTTCTGTATTCCCACTAAACTATAATCTCTGCCAGGGACTGACTGCATCTGTTTGGCACATAGTAGGGCCACATTAATATTTCTTGAATGAATGTCTCTGAAGTACAGAGTTCTCTGTTAAGGGCTATGGGTAGCAGAGTTTGGGAACCTGTAACATAGTTTCTGACACTTAGGAGCTTATAGTCATTTTTGGAGATGAGGTTAAATAACAAAGGTGGTATATAATTGTATATTAATGATTTAACAATAAATGTAATAGGAATGCAGAGGAGAAAGAAATTCACCCCCTCTGAATTGGTGGTAGGTGACCCTGGGGCCACATAGGGATGGCCTGGGGGGAGGAATTCCTAGGAGCAGTTACTGTAAGCCTCTGGCCAAGAAAGGGATTCTTTTTTTTTTTTTTTTTTTTTTTTTTTTAAAAATATATTTTTATTGATTTTTTACAGAGAGGAAGGGAGAGAAATAGAGAGTTAGAAACATCGATGAGAGAGAACCATCGATCAGCTGCCTCCTGCACAGCTCCCACTGGGGATGTGCCCGCAACCCAAGTACATGCCCTTGACCGGAATCGAACCCGGGACCCTTCAGTCCGCAGGCCCACGCTCTATCCACTGAGCCAAACCGGTTCTGGCAAGAAAGGGATTCTTATTTGGGGCAGAGAGGAGGTTGGTTTGGGTGTGGTGACCATACTTCCCAAACTAGAAAGCAAAACTTACGTTCGATGATGGGGTAGAACATTGGAAACGGGCACAGTCCCGGAGAATCTGGTCTGATATAATGTCGAAAAATAATAGTAACAGATTGAAGTTACAAATCTACTTTTGTAGATAGATCAGAGTATGGAAAAATTACTTACAGGTCTCTTTCCAACTCCAGACCAACTTTAGTTTTATTTTATTTCATATACTTCAGTGGTTTTCAAACTTCTCTCAGTCAGTCCTTTTATTGGTAACTATGCAATCCATAGTTCCAATGAAGTCTTACATGAAAAGCAGAATATGCAAACATGTAACAGTGGAGCTGCCTCAGTTGAAGCTTAGTAGGATGCCTTGTGTCAGAAAACCAAATCATATCACAAAACCAAATATCAGTCCTGGCTGGTGTGGCTAAGTTGGTTGGGCAGCATCCTGTGCACCAAAAGGTTGCCAGTTCAGTTGGGGTCAGGGCATGTGCCTGGGCTGCAGGCTTGCTCCTGGTAGGAGGCACGCAAGAGACGAGCCAATCAATGATCATGATCCACTATCACATCAATGTTTCTCTTTCTTTCTCCCCTTCCCTCTCTAAAAAATAAATCAATAAAAAAATCTTAAAAATAAACACAAATATTATATCATCCAAAGTAGCAATACTGATTGGGCTCACGTTCAGATTATAAAATATCCAGCTACTCTGGTGTGGGTAAAACCAAAGTTCTTGTGCTTGTGATAATTTTTCAGAGTGAACTACCTCAAGATGTTTTATTCCTCGCCCGTGTCACCCATCACCAATTGTCCTTCGCAGTCGTTTGGTTTTCTCAGTGCAGGTGAAATAACCATTTAAATGTTAAAATCAAATGTGTCTATGTTTTTGCTTTGATTTTAGGCTAGTATGAGAAATACCAAGGGCAGGATCATCTCAGATCTTCGTTATGGCAACTCATGCAAGAAGCTGTTGAATTAGATTTATTTCCTATAGATGAGAAACCAAACAAGCAGTGGTGAGTTACAAATTTGAAAACATTCCTTAGCAGGAAATGTTTAAATATCTACAAAACCAGTTTAAATATTGCATATGATTTAGCGTATGGATCTGAAGAAATACTGCTCTGAATAATGTCACTAAGTGAACATTGGTTGGATAGGATGTTTAACTGATGGTGCGGTGCTATTAATACCACAGATAGCAGCATGAGGTCTTGGGGTGCGTGGGTTCATTGTATAACACGATGATGCTGCCACCCTGGATGCTGTCAGCCTATGTAAAATGGATGCAATGAACAATCCCATGTGGCTGAGTAACAGTTGGGTAACTGTACTTTTCAGTGGTTTTATTATTTGTAACATAATTCTGTATTTACCAATTCATCCTTTCTAGTAGAAGAATTGGTTCTGAGCTAAATTATAATGCTCCATTCCTTTCATATATATATTCCTATTTCCTATACATATTCACATATATGCACATTCCTATATAAATAGATAGTAGTATATAGGTATATATATTAACAGAACACTTAGATTAGTGGTTCTCAACCTTCCTAATGCCACGACCCTTTAATACAGTTCCTCATGTTGTGGTGACCCCCAACCATAAAATTATTTTCGTTGCTACTTCATAACTGTAATGTTGCTACTGTTATGAATCGTAATGTAAATATCTGATATGAAGGATGTATTTAGGCGACCCCTGTGAATGGGTCATTCAGCTCCCAAAGGGGTCGTGACCCACAGGTTGAGAACCGCTGATTTAGATCTTTAGAAATAAGGGAAGAGAAATCACATAGCAGTTTTATAAAGCTCAATTTATGACATTTTAGCCTAAAAATCAATTTGCTTGATAAAACAATATTAAAAAAGATCCAGTTGCCTTGCTAATTGGAATAATTTTTAAAAATATTATAAAAGTAGCATACATAGGCAAAATATATATTTTAATCGAATACTTGATGTTTCATAGTTACCAAAGTCAATAATCAATAGACTCCAGCAGTGATGAACTAGTTATCTGTCAAATTACATCTCTGGGAAATACAATATGACAGCGGTGCTTGTAAGACTCTAAAAGAAGCTGTTTTGAGCTAGTGATCAATAGCTTTCTTTCATTTGCTTAGCGGCTTCTATAACTCCGGGTAGATAGGCTACCCTGTGAGTTAATGTATAACCTATGACTGCAGAAGACTGATGAAATTAACCCTATGCTTATTTCACATCATGATTTTCATTACAGTCTGCTTACAGTTATATTGAAGAAGCAGATGTAACAGTCATCACTATTCTGTGCTTAATCAACATGTATTAAATTGCCAATACTCAACCATTTTCAAACTAAAAGAAGGGCAATTTTATATGGCTGAACTTAATATTATTTTGAGTTATGTATCATTCTAAGTAATGTAGAAAACATACTGCCCCACTGTAAATGTTTATTGAGCACCGTTTATTGAGAATCTGTGATGTCTCAGATTTATTGAGAATCAGCTCTTGGGATAGATGAAAGAGACATTGCCTGCCTTAAAGGAGCTCTCAAATGTGTAGTTTTTATATGGTGCTGTGACACTGGCAGGCATGGGGGCCAAAGGACGTGCAGCAGAGGAGAGTATGCAAGGAAGGCTTACTGGAGGGGATGATGTTTTGGCTGATTACTAAGGACAGTAAGAGGTTAGCCAGGGGAAGGGGAGCAGTGGGAACATTTTTTGATGGTCCACAGGCTTGAGAGAGGGTACGTTTTTGTGGGGGGTGGGGTGGGGGGGACTAGGTGTCATTTTGCTGGGGCATAAATGGGAGTAGTGGAGATGAAGAGGAATACAGGAGATACATAATAAAGGATCTCTTAGAATAAAGCTAAGGAGTTTGGATTTTATTCCAAAATGAAGAACTTTTAAAAGATTTTAAGGAGGAAATTAACATGACCACATTTATTTTTTTAATTGTGAAAGATGTCATGCACATAGAAGAATGTGTGAAAAATACAATTTGAGGAATAATTATAAAGCAAATGTTGTATAACTGTTATTCACATTAAGAAATAGACTCCCGGGAAGTCTCTGTGTGCTCCTTTAAGATCACGTGCTTTTCCTTCCACTACAAGTAACCCCTAACCGCCACCCTGCCTTTTGTCACACTTGTTCCCTTACTGTCCTTTGAAGATTTTCCAACTTGTAATCATATAATAAATATTCTTAGTCACCTGACTTTGCTAAACATTGTACAATTCTTCTTCCATGTTGATGCATGTAGTTTATTCATGAAAATTGTTGTATAATATTCTGTATCATGCATATAGCAAATTTAATTTTCCATTCTACTGTTGATAGACATTTGGATTGTGTCAATATTACTTATACTGGCATATATATATATATATATATATATATATATATATAATCTGATTTATATATATTTATTTAATAAATGTGTTTATAATAAACTTAATAAGTATATATAATACTTTTTATACATATATATATTATTGCTCATAGATTCTAGTACTCATATATAAGAGCTTCTATAGGATACATAGCAAGTGAATGAACTAAATTTTGGGGTATGTGCACATTCATTTCTTCTAAATAATGCTAAAGTATTTTCCCCAGTCGGTGAGATCAGCAATGTATGAGAAGCTCTATGTCCTCATCAACACTGAAATTTTGCTAATCAGGTGGATACATAATTGCACTTATGGAAGTTTTAATTTGCACTTTGCTGATTACTAATGAAGAAGATCTTTTCGTTTTTTATTGGCCATTTGCTTTTCCTCTTTTGTGAAGTGTCTGCTTAAGTTTGTGAGATTTGTGTTTCAGAATAGTAACTAGATTTGGGTTCTTACTGTGTAGTAGGCACTGTGTTAAGCACTTTACAAACATTTCATCTTCATATCATTTTTATGATTCACAGATAAGGAAACACAGATTTAAAGAGGTTAAATAACTTGCTAGCAGCCACACAGCCAAGAAGTAGTGGACTTAGCATTTAAGCCCAGGTGATTCTGACTCCTGAGTTCTTCAATTTCTCAGTGTCTAGAAAGTGATTAGATTGGTACCAGAGAGAACACTTAAGGTGCTATTGCAGAAATCCAGTTAAAAAGGAATAACGGTATAAATCAAAGGATCACTTTAGGACATATGTACAAAGCAACCAGACTTAGTAATGAATGTCGAGGGTGAAGAAGTGGAAGGGTTTTTTTTTTTTTAAATCTCAAGTTTTAATACCTGTTGGCTAGGTGGATTCAATTTAGTCATACAATGTACATTTACATTCCAGGTATTGTGATAAGTTTTAAGAATACACTCTATGCCGTAACCGGTTTGGCTCAGTGTATAGAGCGTCGGCCTGTGGACTGAAATGTCCCAGGTTCGATTCCGGTCAAGGGCATGTACCTTGGTTGCGGGCACATCCCCAGTAGGAGGTGTGCAGGAGGCAGCTGATCGATGTTTCTCTCTCATCGATGTTTCTAACTCTCTATCTCTCTCCCTTCCTCTCTGTAAAAAATCAATAACAAAAAAAAGAATACACTCTATGATTCCATGATTTAATAAGGGATGAGTTTATTTCATGGGATCATAAAGCTTAGCATTTAAAGAGACCACAATGTTTATTTGGGTCAACTCTTCACTGTTTTAAAACATGGAATCTGGTGCAAAAAGAGGTTAAGTGGCTTATTCAAGATCACATGCTACTAAATTTCAGATTAAGAATAGACACCAGGCCTGAACAGAATGCCAAGGAAGTACAACCTGCAGAACTTTTAAATTAATACGTAAAAATATAATCAACCTACTTTATCTCCTAAACATTTTTCAAGTCAGTTCCCTTTGAGTAAATCTGTTGTTACTGCCATAAGTTAGGCGCTTATCATCATTGTTAGCAGGTTTATTTAGATAGCCTAGCAAGTTATCTTCTTGCCCATGACTCTACCAATGAAGTCACCAGATCTGATTTGCAGTTGTTACCAGGTAACCTTCTTGCTCATTTTGATATGCTTGATTGCCTATGAAATAAATTCCCTTCCCCTTAAAATATACCATATTCCCATTCACCCCAATTTAGGAACTGTTCTCTCCCATTGCCTGGGACACCAATGTGCTTTATTACAGACACTCAGGGTTTATTACCTCTGTGCTTTACTTCACGCTGTCTATTCTGCCTGTATTCACCCCACCCGTCCTTTACTAACAGTCATTAGTCATCCGTTAAGACCTTTGTAGTCTAAGAATGGCCTGGGGACTGACAACATGGGCATCATCTGAGAGCTCAATAGATCCCACCCAGATCTACTGACTCAGAATCTTTCAGACAAGATCCTTGGATGATTTAAGGTTTGAGAGGTACTGCTTAGACTCACTTTAGACTTCATCAGGTGTTATCTTCCCTTAGAAACCTTTCCTGACTCCTACCATTAGTCACTCATTTCTTCCTGGTGTTCTCACAGTAGCCTATGCACCGTAGACACTGTGTTACCACACATTTTACTGTTTATGGGTCTGTCTCTCCACCTTAGCCTGGGAGTAATTTGAGTCAGATATAATTATCTTAGACTTCCATGCCTAGTACAGTGCATAAATGTTTATTGAATAATTGATGAAAGAAAGGGGAGAGCAAGAGATAGATATATAGAATGATAGAGCAGAGGCAGGAGAAGAAAATTATGAGAATAAAATACAGCCAAAGGGACTTTTCAGGGAAATAACTAGACTATAAAAAAAGGCGTCAAAGATTGCACCTCTGGATACAATTTGGAAAGCAGCTGACAGAGGGTCTGCAATCTTATTTAAATAGATTGGCTGATAAATGTGAATACTATTTGCCAAATCTTTCAGAATCCAAATATGATGAATAAGAGACTGTTCAGAAACTTGTCATGTAAGGCTGCTCTGTCTTGCTTCTTTGTGGTTGCAAGTTACCAAGATAGGAAACTAAATTCTTAGGATTAGTAAAATGAATATAAGTAGCTCTCATATTGTATAAAAATTTAAAGGCCTTTCACTGACTGGCAGAACTT